TTTCATCAGAAGACTTGACCCAAAAAAGTGAAAAGATAAGCTATCAACTTGGAGAATATTTTCAGAAACCACATGTCTAATAATCTAATAACCAAAATATATGTAAAACTTCAACAACTTAACAACAATAAGACAAATTAACCCAATCATAAAATGGGCAAAGGACTTGAATTGACATTTCACCAAAGAGCACATTCAGATGCCCAACAAACACAGGAAAATGTGCTCAGGGTCATTAGCCTTCAGAGAGATGCAGATCAAAACCACAATAAGATACCATTTCACTCCCACTAGAATGACTAAGATTAAAAAAATAGAAAATCACAAACATTGACAAGGACGTGAGGAAATTGGAACCCTTATCCATTGCTGTTGGGGATGCAAAATGGTACAGCCATTATGGAAGACAGTGTGACAGTTCCTCAGAAAACTAAAAATAGAGCTACCATATGACCCAGCAATTGCACTCCTAGGTATATATCCAAGAGACTTGAAAACAGAGACTCAAACAGATGCTTATGTACCAATGTTCATTGCAGCACTATTCACAATAGCCGAAAGGTGGAAACAACCTAAATACTCATCAATGGATGAATGGATAAACAAAATGTTGTACGTACATCCAATGGAATACTACTCAACTAGTAATGAGAGTAAGTCTTGATACGTGCTACAATATGGATGGAGCTTGAAGACATGCTGAGTGAAAAAAGTTAATCACAAAATGACAAATATTTTATGACCTCACTTATATAAAAATACTAGAATAGGCAAATATAGAGGGAGAAAAATGGTTACCAAGGGCAGGAGTGAAGAGGAAAGGAGGGTTAATGCTTGTGGAATACTGGTTTACGATAATGGAAAATCACATTGAGTAAGGGTAGGGTTGCACAGCTGATTAATGTAATTGCTGTCAATAAGTTGTACAGCTGTAAAAAGCTCTATTGGCAAACGTTGTGTGATAGATATATTGACAGCAACAACAAAAGAAAAGAGTAGCTGCTGAGGCTGCTTATGTACAACCAAACACCATCTATTTGGGATTCGATTCCTTGGTTTGGAGGTTTAGGGTCATGGTTTCATGGGACATCCCAGTTAATTGGCCTAATAACGTGTTTAGTGCTTCTGTTCTACATCCTAGTTCATTGCATAATACCTCTGGGGTCTTAAAAGCTTGCAAGCGACCATCCAGGGCACAACAATTGGTCTCTATTTACCTGGAGCAACAGAGGAAGGAAAGTGAGGTTTAGGAGGAGGAAATGGAATATGTGGCTAATTGCTTCCATGAACAACTGCCTCTTTAGCCATGAGACCAGAAGAAGTGGATAGTGCCTGGCTACCATTACTGAACATTTCAATCAAAGGGTCTTTTACAGATCAAAAAGGAGGAGAAGGCAGAACAGAATTTGAAATTCTCATGGATTCCAGACTTTTTGGAGGTCTGGAGGCTGGATGACCCCTGAAACTATTGCCCTGAGATACTTTTTAAACCTTAAACCAAAACTATCCCCTGAATTCTTCTTCGAACCAAGTAATACTTTACTAGTAAAGAATGTCTGCCGTGAGCATTGTGCTGTTTTAAAGAACTATCTATACGGGAGCTACGGGAGCAAAGTGACAACAGCAACTTGAAAGGTTAGATAGGAAGCTTGGGGGGTAGTGAGTTTATGTTAATGGAGGATGAACAATCAGAATAGTAGGGTGAGGATGGTTGCACCACTTGAAGAATGTAATCAGTGTCACTTAATTGTACATGTAGAAACTGTTGAATTGGTGTATTTTCTGTGTTCTGTTGTGTATATTCTTAACAAAATAAATTATATATATATTTTTTAAAAAAGAATAGAATTGCCCGGTTGAGTTTTCTTGGCTATAATCCTCACAACAAAAGGAACCCTGGTGGCACGATTGTTTAGTACTTGGCTGCTAACCAAAAGGTCATAGTTCAAACCAACCTGCCTACTCCACGGAAGAAAGACCCGGCGATCTGCCCCCGTAAAGATCACAGCCTAGAAAACCCTATGGGGCAGTTCTACTCTGTCATATAGGGCCACTATGAGTCAAAATCGACTTGACAGCAGCTGGCAACAGCAACAACAATCTTTATGGAAGCAGATTGCCAGGTCTTTCTCCCACGGAGCAGCTGGGTGGGTTTGAATCATCAACCTTTCAGTTAGCAGCCAGTGCTTAACTGTTTGCGCCACCACAGCTTGTTTATTTCCTAGTAGAGGAATCTTTTACGAACAGTCTTCCTTGGTACCCGATACATAAAGTAAATTTTAAAAAGTAATGTTTAAGTATTTATACGTGTTATAAGTTTAAACTTACATTTATTATAGAGTTAATTAGTGAGGGAGGGAGAGACAATTTGAACCACAAAAGGACTTGGTCTTTAAAGGGCCTTGGCTTCCATTTTATCTGCATTATGTTTTGTTTGTCAAGTATTTGAAAGCGTTTATACACAGATAAGTAGCTGCAGGTGGTAACAGTGTTTGTTGATTGTTTTATAAGACTCACCCTGAATTCTTAGGAGACTTCGGTTTTACAGAGAGGAGGAATAAACTTTATTTTTAGGACCACAGGAAAGTTAATTTAGCAGCACAAGTTAATGAATTAATTCCCTGCGTCGTGTTAAAATTTGGTTGTGAAACTATTAAACTTCAGTGTTTTATTTTAATCCTAGCGTTAAGCTAGTTACTTAAAGAAAATCAAGTCAAATATTTGCAGAATCCCAGAATTCTGCAGAGAACACCATTTGAGAACTAATAATCATACTTAATTAGCATTATCTCTATAGAGTAAGAGTATAGATTCTTATTGTACTGTGCATTTAGAGAAATTGTCAAATGGAAAAAATGAAAATATTTCCCATTGAAATCCTCAATAAAAAATGTGTTCTGGAAGTTTCCAAAATTACTTTTCTGTTTTAATTATTGTTACCAGTTATGTGGTTACCAACCCAGCCCACAAATTATTTAGTCTATAAGCAACTGAAATAGTAGTATTTAGCTGTCTTGTGATTAATTATGCATTTTTTAGTTAGTATGGCATTCTGATAGATTCTTATGACTTTGTTTCCGTGGGAATTTTGTTGAATTTGACTTGCACTTCTGGATTGTAAACCTCCATCCATTCCCACTGTGAGGTAGAAGAGGGATGGAAAGTAGCTGAGGAGAATGAGAATTTTCTATCTCTTGATTGGAGAATTTTTATCCCTCAACTAAAGTGGCTGCTTGTCTGTTCTCTGAGGAAGAAGTGTGCATCCTAGTGTTAGAAAGCAGCTCTGAAGATGTGCTAGTTTAGTCCTCTGCCTTTGTTGTTGTTTTTTAGCGCCATTGAGTCAATTTCAACTCATTGTGACACCATGTGACAGAGTGGTACTGCCCCATAGGGTTTTCTAGGCTGTGATCTTTATGAAAGCAGATTGCCAGGTCTTTTTCCTGTGGAGCTGCTGGGTGGGCTTGAACTATCAACCTTTTGGTTAGCAGCCAAGTGCTTAACCATTGTGCCAGCAGGGCTCCTTCTGTGCCTTTAGGTGTTTAGTTTTGTAAAGCTGTGCAAAAAGGAAACTTTTACAAAGATGAAACATATTTTCTGTTTCTTCAGAAAGCTGAACATTTAAGGAAACCCTGTGGTGCATCCTTTGGGTAGGCAAAGGCTCCTCTAAGGTACATGGTATCTGCATAATAGTAAAGCTTCTGGCGTGTTTTTAGAAGCCATTAGAAGTTTTTTTATCTACAGTTGACCCCAGTAATGAGAGTAATCAGTGTAATGGGCTTCTCCTTAAGGAGAATTGCTAGTCTCCCAATGGCCTGTGACCCCAGTTCCACTGTGATCCCCAGCACCATGCCCCCTTCCACTGTATGGTGCCAGACATTCTTCCGTGGGTCTGGCAGACTTCTCCAGCTGCGACCTGGCTTCATATTAAATTCCACATAGTGTTTATAGGCGGTTTGGCATCAAAGTTAAATTGAGAACTAAAAATAAAATGAGGGCATTATAATTGGTGATCTCTCATGTCTCTTCTAGCCGATGAGTCTAGGAAACAAGCACAGCTGGAGAATTACTTGTATTTTTTATGTGGAATTACATAATCAATCGTTTTGTATATCCAAAGTTTTGGTATATTAATTCAGACTCTAGCTTCAAATTCTGGGTCTACTGCTTAAGTGTACACATTTCAGAGTAAATAATTCAATTACCCTAAACTTCAGTTTCCTTGTGTGTAAAATAGAGTTAATGAGTATCTGCCTCCTAGGGTTACTATGAAGTCTAAAGAAGATAATCCATTTAAAGTTTATATATACCAAGTATGTGGTATGTTGTTGTTACCTGCCATCAAGTCGACCCTCAACTCAAGGTGATCCCACGTACAATGGAACAAAACTCTGCCCAGTCCTGTTATTATCCTAGGGTTTTCACTGGCCTTTCTTCCTGCTCCATCTTAGTCTGGAAGCTCTGCTGAAACCTGTTCAGCATCTTAGCAACACACAAGCCTCCACCAACAGACAGTGGTGGCTGTGCGTAAGGTGCATTGGCTGGGAATCGAACCCAGGTCTCCCACATGAAAGGAGAGAATTCTCCCACTGAACCACCAATGCACCCCATGTAGTGTGTAGTAGGTGCTTTAAAAATTCTTAGTCATTTTCATCATCGTTTTTATTACTAATATTATTATTAATTTTTAATCTATTACGCCTAGGAAAATATTACCATTGTTGGTTGCCTTAGAAGTGATTCCAACTCCTGGCAACCCATGAGTGCAGAGTAGAACTGCTCCATAGGGTTTTCAACCTTTCAGAAGCAGATCACCAGGCCTGTCTTCCAAGGCGCTTCTGGACAGGTTTGAACTGCCAGCCTTTCAGGTAGTAGTCAAGCATTTAACCATTTGTTCTACCCAGGGACTCCTGAAAATATTAGTAGAAATGATTAATAGAAGAGGAGAAAACAAATTCATGTTTTTCATGCCCTTTCTTCCCTTCCACCTGTGCCCTCTGCAGAATGCGATAAACTGCGACGGGATGGCTACCGAAGTTCTCAGTACTACTCTCAGGGACCCACCTTTTCCACCAACCCTAGCCCACTCTGTGATGATTATCAAGATGAGGATGAAGAAATGGATCAAAAGGTAAGGCTGCTGAATTCAACATGGTATCCTGCATTGGATCCCAGAACAGAAGAAGGATAGAAGAGGAAAAACTGGCGAAATCAGAATAAAGTCTGTTTTTAATTAATAGTATTATCCCATGTTAATTTCATAGTTTTCACAAATGTCCATGATTATGTTAGATGTTAACATTAGGGGAACCTGAGCAGAGGGTACACAGGAACTCTAAATACTATCTCTACTACTTTTCTGTACATCTAACATTGTCCCCCACACCTTTTCCCACCCAAAAAAATATAAGGTCAGGATTCAAGGGACTCATTAAAGGGACAAAATTCAGTATATTTGTGTATTTTAATATTTTCTTTAGGTAGAAAAAATGAAGTTATTTCTATTGTTCTGTTTTGCATATGACCAAGAACGCAGCTAGATTATAAAGAAGAGCTCCAAGTATAACAACAAAAGCAACTGTTTCACAATTGGGCAATGTTGTTAATATAAATTGAACATAAGCAGTGCCTTTACTTAATTAACGTTAAAAAAACAAAAACTGCCTTTAAGTCTATTCAGTCTCATGGTGGTAAACCTCACGTGTCTCAGAGTAGAACTATGCTCCATATCATTTTCAATGGTTGATATTTCAGAAGTAGATCACCAGACCTTTCTTCTGAGGAATCTCTGGATACACTTGAACCTTCAATGTTTTGGTTAGCAGCAGAGCCCATTAGCCATTTACACCTCCCAGGCACTCCAATTAACATTATGACCCTTTGCTGTCTAGTCGATTCCCACTCATAGTGACCTATAGGATAGAACTGCTCCATAGGGTTTCCAAGGCTGTAAATCTTTACAGAAGCAGACTGGCACATCTTCTCCCTAGGAAGAACTGGTGGGTTCAAACCACTGACCTTTTGGTTAGCAGCCAAGTGCTTTAACCATTGCACCACCAGGGCTCCTAATTAACATTGTAACCCAACCCACCTATTGCTGTTGAGTCTGGACTTATAGCGACCAAACAGGACAGAGTAGAACTGCCCGATAGGGTTTCCAAAGCTGTAATCTTTACCGTAGCAGACTGCCACATCTTTCTCCTGCAGATCGGCTAGTGGATTCAAACTGCCAACCTTTCAGTTAGCAGCTGAGCACTTAATCACGGCGCCACCATGGCTCTTAATTTATAGCACTGGCCAGTTCACTTTTGAGATGCTATTTTACATTTGGGTCCCTTTTTCTCATACCATCTGTCATGGATTGAATTGTATCCCCCCAAAATATCTGTCAACTTGGCTAGGCCATGATTCCCAGTATTGTGTGACTGTCCACCATTTTTTGTCATCTGATGTGATTTTCTTATGTGTTGTAAATCCTACCTCTATGATGTTAATGAGGCAAGATTAAAGGCAGTTATGTTAATGAGGCAGGACTCAAATCTACAAGATTAGGTTGTGTCTTAAAGTGAATCTCTTTTTAGATATAAAAGAAAGAAAGGAGCAGAGTGACGGGGGACCTCATACCACCAAGAAAGCAGTGCCAGGAGCAGAGCATGTTCTTTGGACCCAAAGTTCCTGCATGGAGAAGCTCCTAGACCAGGGGAAGTTTGATGACAAGAACCTTCCTCTAGAGCCCAGAGAGAGAAAGCCTTCCCCTGGAGCTGGCACCCTGAATTTGTACTTTTAGCCTTCTAGACTATGAGAGAGTAAATTTCTGTTTGTTAAAGCCATCCAATTGTGATATTTCTGTTACAGCAGCACTAGATAACTAAGACACCATCTCTTGTGATAAACTAGTTGTCTTAGTTTTCTAGTGCTGCTGTAACAGAAATACTACAAGTGGTTGGCCTGAACAAACAGAAGTTTATTCTCTCACAGTCTGGTAGGCTAGAAGTCCAAATTCAGGACGTCGGCTTCCCCTTCAGGGGAAGGCTTTCTCTGTCGGCTCTGGAGGAAGGGTCTTGTCATCAATCTTCCCCTGGACTAGGAGCTTCTCTGCACAGGAACCCTGGGTCCAAAGGACACGCTGTGCTCCTGGTGCTTCTTTCTTGATAATATGAGGTCCCCCACTCTCTACTTGCCTCCTTTTCCTCTTATCTCTTGTAAGATAAAAGGTGGTGCAGGCCACACCCCAAGGAAACTCCCTTTACATTGCATCAAGTATATGACCTTAGTTAGGGTGTTACAATCCCACCCTAATCCTCTTTAACATAATCTAATCTTGCCTTATTAACCACAGGCAGAGATTAGGATTTACAACACATAGGAAAATCATCAGATGACAAAATGATGGACAATCACACAATACTGGGAATCATGGCCTAGCCAAACTGATAGATATTTGGGGGGGACACAATTCAATCCATGATGGTAGTTAAGAGAAGTACATTTTCTTAATAGTAAGAATAAAAATGAAAGAATAAAAATTTATGAGATTTTGACTTAGTTTTATTTTCATTTTATTAAGTAATGTGGACTGACATTGGCATTACTTAAATTAAGCTTTGATTAGCATGGCTTTTTCAGGAACCATTTTTAATTAATCTAAGAACTTTTAGTGGAATTAGATCAATACATAAATGTCTTTTGGCTGGAGAACATTATTCAAAATTTATTGTTCTTCACATGGATAAAGTCAGAGAAAACAATAATATAACAGTTTATCAAGAATGGGAAATCATTTTTTGGTAATCTAATGAAGATTGGACCCAGGTTGTTATCACAGAATGTTTTTCATATTTCTTTAAATATATTTTCACATACTAAGCTAGTCCTTTGGGACTCTAAATATCCAAAGAAAGTCTTATGCTATAATAGGAAAAGTAACTGTTTCAAAATTGGTCTGGTCTTTAGTTTTAAAAACTTTTATTTTTTTATTGTTCATATGGGTAAGGTAAATAAAAATCAGAAGGTGAATTATATAGTGATATTCTTTTAATCCTGATATACCTCTTAGCCTTACGCTGGTGCTCAGGGGAGGAAAATTCAGTCTATAGTGGGGCTTAGTGAAATAGAGATGTTTCTAGGTGTAGCATGATTGCCCAAGTTGTGATTGTCCAAGCGATGTGGAATTCCTTGGTGGCAATTTTGCATTGATTATCAAAGCAACATCTTAACATCTTCTGAAAAATGGAAACCATTTCTAAATTCTCACGTAGATATTTAATTACTGTGACGCTCAAATCTGCAGGACATGAAGCTCTATGGACTTGTTTCTACTCCTACGTGCCATTGCCCCAGACCCCTACCTCCAGGCAGCTCCCTCCCAAACGTGTGTGAGAGAATGTGGACAGCTCATTACCCCTGAGAAAAAAAAGGCTCTGTTGAAAATGAGTCAGTAGATAACTTACATGTAGGTTGCCATGAGTCAGAATCAACTCAACAGCAGCTGGGTTAAAGAAATATATATATACATAATCCTATATATCATATATTGTAAGAGCCCCAGTGTTCCAGTGGTTAAAGCGGTCGGCTCCTAACCAAAAGGTAGGTGGTTCAAACTCACCAGCCACTCCACGGGAGAAGGATGTGGCATTCTGCTTTCTGTGAAGATTTACAGCCTTGGAACCCCTGTTGTAGGGTCGCTATGAGTTGGAATCAACTCGACACTAGTGGGTTTTATATGTCATATATTGTAGATGACATGACATGTCCTAGAACGTAAATGTTTCCACCTTAAGTGCCTTAGTGTGATAGGAGATGATTGTGGGTCCTTAGATAGATTTCCTCTTGGGGCCCACACCCTCCTGTAAAATGGAGGATTGGAGCAGTGGAAAAGCCTTCTCTAGTGTGTGTGCTGGAAGGCGAGCTGTTCTCTGGGCTCCTTCAGAGTTGGTCTGGGTTATAGGCTTTCTCACAAGGTCTGGACTCCTGGCCCTACTCATGTTTGGACCTTCACAAAAACACATCAAAACTCGTTGCCTTCAAGTCGATTCCAACTGATAAAACTGCCCCATAGGGTTTCCGAGGAGCAGTTGGTGGGTTTGAACTGCCGACCTTTTGGCTAGCAGCCAAGCTCTTAACCACTGTGCCACCAGGGTCCCTCAAAAGCATATAGACACTTTCAAGTCTTAACTTCCTTCCCTGCTGTGTGATTTTTTGATACCTTTGTGATTTGTAAAATTCAGGTTAATGGTTGTTTGTTTCATACTTGTTCTAGGTTGAAAGTATTTTGAAACCATTGGATATATTGTTAGTGATATTTAAGGGCAACTTTTTTTTTCTTTCTTTTTTAATATGTAGAACCAAGTTGAATTGTATTTGCATTTTTTGAAATAATTAGATATGAATGTCTTCTCAAGGCAGTATCTGTTAAGAAATTTGTTTCAGAATTAAATATATGTATCAAATTATCTTCTTGGTTTATCAAATACGTATCTGTATTTTATATATTAATTCATTATAAATATTATTCATTAAGGAGCCCTGGTGGCGCAACTGGTTAAGGACTGGGCTGCTAGCCCAGAAGTTGGCTGTTAGAACCCACCGGCTGCTCTGTGGGAGAAAAGCCCTGGCAATTTGGTCCTATAAAGATAACAAAAAAAAAAACAAACCTGTTGCCGTCGAGTCATTTCCAACTCATAGCGACCCTATAGGACAGAGTAGAACTGCCCTATAGGGTTTCCAAGGAGTGTCCGGTGGATTCGAACTGCAGACATTTTGGTTAGCAGCCGTAGCTCTTAACCAGTACTCACCAGGGTTTCCCCTGTAAAGATTACAGCCTAGGAAATCCAGGGCCAAATTAAGGCATGTGAGGGCCCTAAACACCAGTAATCTGTGGTACACCCTCCTCTGCTTTTACTCACACATTCAAACAGGCTACGTGAGTTAGATGAATATACACATATATATGTGTGTGTATCTTAGCTATCCATGATGTAACTTCTTTTAAAATGCAACTGTAGTATTAGTGATTGACAGCAAAAGTGGCTTATACCATTTTAGTGGAATGAGATGAAGTGGATTATGAAATTTTTAGTGGATGCAGGGTACTAAGATTTTCACTATATACCACATTTTCTACAAAATGAA